CAAAGGCTGCGAAACCCCAAATCCTCCGAAACAGGGAACCCCAGAGCCAGGATGCCAAACGTCACCTAAGGAATGCATTAAGATAGGGAAGATAAGGAAGAAAGTGAGACTGTGAGCCCCCAAAGGCTGCGAAACCCCCAAATCCTGCGAAACAGCGAACCCCAGAGCCAGGACGCAAACGTCACCTAAGGAATGCATTAAGATTCAAGATAGGGAAGATAAGGAAGAAAGTGACACTGTGAGCCCCCAAAGGCTGCGAAACCCCCAAATCCTCCGAAACAGGGAACCCCAGAGCCAGGATGCCAAACGTCACCTAAGGAATGCATTAAGATAGGGAAGATAAGGGAGAAAGTGAGACTGTGAGCCCCCAAAGGCTGCGAAACCCCCAAATCCTCCGAAACAGGGAACCCCAGAGCCAGGATGCCAAACGTCACCTAAGGAATGCATTAAGATAGGGAAGATAAGGAAGAAAGTGAGACTGTGAGCCCCCAAAGGCTGCGAAACCCCCAAATCCTGCGAAACAGGGAACCCCAGAGCCAGGATGCCAAACGTCACCTAAGGAATGCAATAAGATAGGGAAGATAAGGAAGAAAGTGAGACTGTGAGCCCCCAAAGGCTGCGAAACCCACCAAATCCTCCGAAACAGGGAACCCCAGAGCCAGGATGCCAAACGTCACCTAAGGAATGCATTAAGATAGGGAAGATAAGGAAGAAAGTGAGACTGTAAGCCCCCAAAGGCTGCGAAACCCACCAAATCCTCCGAAACAGGGAACCCCAGAGCCAGGATGCCAAACGTCACCTAAGGAATGCATTAAGAGAGGGAAGACAAGGAAGAAAGTGAGACTGTGAGCCCCCAAAGGCTGCGAAACCCCCCAAATCCTCCGAAACAGGGAACCCCAGAGCCAGGATGCCAAACGTCACCTCAGGCATCATTAAGATAGGGAAGATAATGAAGAAGTTTAAGACTGTGAGGATGCCAAAACGTCACCTAAGGACTGCATTAAGAAGGAAGATAGGAGAAAGTGAGACTGTGAGCCCCCAAAGGCTGCGAAACCCCCAAATCCTGCGAAACAGGGAACCCCAGAGCCAGGATGCCAAACGTCACCTAAGGAATGCATTAAGATAGGGAAGATAAGGAAGAAAGTGAGACTGTGAGGATGCCAAACGTCACCTAAGGAATGCATTAAGATAGGGAAGATAAGGAAGAAAGTGAGA